AGGGATGTTCTGTACTTCAATTAGCACAGAGGGGAACTAGGAAGCACCCTACAAAATACTGACATTAGAGCAACTAGCCTGGCAGCTAATAAACTGTGCCTCTTGCTACTCTCTCATCACGCTACAGCCCCGCTTCTCCCTGAGTTCAACCGCTAGCATCACTCCTGCCACAAACTACAGCCCTATGGGACTGAGCTAAATAAAATCTCAATTTGGGTGAATGCTTCCACATGCACGGTAGTTTGTAACTTACAGCACCATCTTGAGGTGCAGCTTTATCTAATGTGCCTTCTGCTTGAAATTAAGTGCAAGAGAACAGAAGTCAACCAAGGTTACATATCAAAGTCTTTTCTCAGCTGCTGTGGCAGGTTTGACAACGCGCTCTGAACGCTGCACTAAATACACCGCTGCTGGCCCTGTTTATAGGCAGCTTGGCATGGAACAGGCTCAGATGCATCTTTGGATCAAAGGCACAATTTACTCCCTAAAGCATGTATACAGTTTTAAGGGGAATTATACAAGCTTTCCCAAACTATGGAAGAGCCTAGTTGTTTTTATTTTGCTTCAGCAATCTCAGGGTCTTTGTGAGTAGCATTTAGTTCTTACCGTTAATTCATTTATACAGAGAGCAGAAACTGGAGCCCTGTGACCTCGAAGCTGTGTTAGAAATGAAAGTTTATTCAAGTCCCAGATGATGCAGGTGCGATCACGGGACCCGCTCACAATTATGTGATAAGCTAGTGATGCTGTTAAACACGTGACAGTGTCAGTATGGCCAAGAAGTGCCTGCAAAACAAAAATTGGGAATGAGACACAGCAGTCAGGAGAGAGCACAGAAAGTATTACATGAAACTCCTTGACTTAAAGGGATGCAGATAATGTAAACATGAATGATCCCATCAAAAGGTTCATATGGAATGATAATTAAAGTATTTGAATAACAAGAATTACCATAATCCAATTTTTGGTAGGGGTCAGTTTTTTTTTTCATTTAACAAATAATCTTAGTAGTCCAGATTTCAGGGGTCAAATAATATGGGTGAGGTAACCCAAAACAAAAAAAAAAAAAAAAGAGAAAAAATAGAAAATATGACCCCCTCCTGCCTCCTCCAGCTGCATTACTAGCTCACCTGTAGGATCAGTATGCTATATGAACTTGCACGGTTAAGATAGTCACCCTTCCCTGTCCTCCCCAATGCAGAGTTTACAGGTATATTTGATGTGCAACGCCACAACAAAGCTCCCTTTCCCACCTGAGCAGAATTCACATGTAAAACGGATGCTTGTTCTATTTTACCTGTTTCAGTGCCAGGGCTTTAGCCTTTTCTTTGGAGATGCCCATTTCCCACACGCACACCACCGTGCTCGTCCCTCCCGTGATGACCAGCTTGGGGCTCGGGCAGATGGCGCACAGGATCTGCCCCCACTCCGACAAACACTCGTAAACAATCACCGCCTGAAAGGCAGGGAAAGGAAGACGTTACTTGCCAAACTCGTGCCCCGTCCTTTCCAAATGGCAGGTCGGGCTGTTTTCCTTTAACATCTGTATCACAGCTGCTAACAGTGGTGGATAATTTATTTGTGCGGGATAAAAATAAAAACCCGAGTGCCCCCCTGCATGCTGGCCCTTTGCAAAACTAAGACTTTGTGAGCCCAGACGCAGGTGTTCCTCAAACAGCACCAATTCCAATCTCTGCCACAAGATGGGTCCAGACAGAGCATCAGAGATGGGCTTTTACTGTGTGGATTTAATTCACAAACTAATGGGTAAAATTTTTTAAAATGCGCTTATTTATCAGTTAATGTAATTCTTCTAGCATTCTGATGGTGACCACTGGTTAGTGAGCAATAAAACAAGTGTGCAACCAACAAAGATTATTTGATTCACATGTGGAATATCCCTACAGAAAACCACTTTCTTTTGCTCCATTCGGCACTAGAACAAGTTTCAGGTCACAAACCTTGTCCGACTCGTAGGTACCCAGTCTACAGCTGAGGTCCGCATAGCCCCAAGCAAAAGTTTTATTCCACGTAGGTGGGATGAGAACCTTATTTTGCTCCACTGCCAGAATGCCTTTGTCGGTACACACGATCTGTCCCACGGGCTCCTTCAACTCTGCAAGAGAAGAGAGTGGTGCCAGGGAGTGCCCCGACCAGCCTCAGCGTGGATTTCCAGCAGCCCCTTCCAATTCCATCTAAACGCCCCTAAAACCCAACAGGAACAGGAGTTGTGGGGTTTCTGTGACACGGATCTGAGGTACAGCTGCAGTGATGGCACTTTATGCAGTATTCCTGACGTGCAAAGAGCTAACGGAGACGACAGCCTGGAGCTCTGCTCCCACTCGAGTCACTGCACGAGCTGCCCTTCAAGCCTAGGATGACCCAAAAGTAATCTCTCCGATGCCTGTGGCCATTAAAGGCAATTGTACCTTTTTGCACAGTTAAAAATAGGTATTTTTTGGTACTGATTACAACATCTTGGCCAAACCTTTCAAGCAGCTACATTTGTAACTACAGCCTGTGGTTTCCTGCCTACTTTTGTCAAGATCTGCAAATACAGATTAACACATCCACATTTCTTGTCTTAGATTGCAGTAGTCCTGTTGTATTTTGTCTAACCAAAAAATACCCTTTTTGGTGCCAGTGTGACTGCTTTCCTTCCAACAGTCCAAGCACTTCTTGGTGCTGTTAAGAAGGAATTCTTCTGCTACAGCAAAGCACAAAAAATGAGTCCACCCGAGGCCCAGAAGCCAAGTGCCCTGAATAGTGTCTAGACACCTCTGGAAGTGGCTTCAGACACAATCTGTTCAACTTAAAACAGTGTGTTGAATAGGTACAAGTTTGGTGTATTGCAAGCATGCTTTAAGATAAGTATGAATGCAATATGATAGCATTGGGGTATTTTAACTGCCTTTGTGTCAAAAGTATAAACTTAGAAACAGCAGCAAAGAAAGCAAAGCAAAATATGAAAAGTGACTTTAGCTGGATGGAACTACAAATGCTCTGGAAAAACAAGAGGAGTAAATAGGCTGTTTTTAAGCTTTACCTTTCACTGGTGCAAGGGATGGCCGCAGGTTGTCTAAATGATGGAAAAAAATCTTGTCACTTGTAGAACCAGGGGGCAGAGAGGTTCCCACAGCCTCTCCATTCACTCGGCTTCTAACACGCTTTGGTGGGTGCGGTTTTTTAAAGAGCTGAAGAAATTATCAAGAAATTATTTTAAAATATCACGGCTTTGCAAAACTATAAGCTTAAAAAGCATCAGTGCTGACTGATTGAGCTTACAAAAACACACAGATCAGTGAAAGTTACTTAAATGCTTTCAGTATTCCTGGCTTCACTATTCACTAATTTATGACACTTAACCATTTTCATAGCACTCCCATGAGTAACCCAAAATCCAACTAGGATATAGTGAGCAAAACATTTTTCAAACTACACCCAGTTGCAAAAGTAATTGAAGTAAAGCGAGCAGAAACCCAAGTGTGACACATGGTGTGGTGAACAGTTCTAACCCACGTGACACAAAAGCTCACCTTAACTTTTACAGAAACTGTGTCCCACAAACAGCTGCCCACACACTTGGAGAGGATGAAACAAGCAAAGAACAGAATAACTGCATGTGAGGTCAAGATGCTGGACCACATATAACAATTATGGCCAAGAAACACATTTTAACTGGCAGCTGCTTTCTGCCTATCTCGTGCTAGTGAGTCAGTGGATCTCCCTTTTACTGCTTTGCTGCCGATTCCCGACATCTTGACTAATCTCAAAGAACTTCAGTTTCAGTAAGGGAAATAATTCCTTTCTCCTCTGAGTTAATTTTCCTCTTGGTTACTCCCCTTTGTTTCATCAGAAAGTGCGATCTCCAACGCTGGCAGGGCCTGTGAAGCCACTCTTCCAAATGTAGCACCAACTCTTCAAGATTTTGCATCCTTAAAACAGGAAGTTAAAACTACCATGGACATGACTGGAGAGAAGAGGTATGATGAGGGGGAGGTGGTCCTAGCACCCAAGTCACTATCTTTCTGTAGATTTCCCTGTGGGAAATCACAGAGGACAATAACAAAGTTCTAAGGCCACATGAACAGTGTGCTTCTACAGCCCTTGCCACCAAAAATGACTGAAGGAGAGGGGGCATTTCTCAAGCTGCTCAGGCTCCTGGTCATGCCACTAGTGACGCTGCTTCTCTCGGTGCTGAGCACCCACTCAGCACTGCTAGTGCTCTGCAGCCTCGTATCTCAAGGGTGTTCTGTCCTTACCCTGCAAATCCTTACCATCTTCTGCAGCACGGCCAGCAGGGGCCAAATTTCTCTCTAGTTACTGGGGTCACCCAAGGGGAGATGGATTGAAGTTGTTACAGGGAGAAGTCGGTGATCTGTGGCAGCACTGGAGGTAACATCACCTTTGTGTCACAGCTTGTGTGGTTGTGAACACCACGACCCCTGCCTGTCACTGCAGATTTAGGATACAAAGCTCTAGCTGCCCTTTCCTGGGATACAACATTTGGACAGGGAGCAGAAACAGGCTGGAATGATCTCCCCGCAGAACGGGAACAGCTGAATCAAGGGCATTCAGGGCACCATTCTCGGACCTCAAAAACATATCATATGATATATATTTTTCAAACTCTCAGATTTCTAATGGCTAACAGTCCAAAACAGTTCCAGTGACATTACAACACCCCAAGTGCCCCTCCATTTACTGCAGCCTGCTGTTTCCTCTAGCAAACATCATATGATAGAGACTTGCCAGAGAGCACATGTTTGTCCTTAACAGACACTTTAAGATTCAAAAGACATTTCCAATCTCAAGAGCAAAATCTGCAGTTTATCACATTTATGCCTGAAATATAAATAATTTCACATCACTGGAAATATATTTAGGAACAAACTCTCTCTCCGAGGATATTTAATTCCTCAAGCACTTTCCTCTTCTTTATTAATGCATTATACAGTTCAACCAGCGTGCCATCTAGCAAATAAGAATCAAGGCCAGTGTACCTGCTTTGGTATCTGTCCGAAGTTATTAATGAATCCTATGGTAGCAGTCTCTTTTAATGGATCATTGATGTTATATATGTCCACTTGCCCCTCATAGAAGAGGTGGTGAAAGACATTTACAGCTTCGACTGCAGCAGGACCTTGCTGCTTATAGCCAAAGATCAGGTCAATCCACTCGTGCAGATGGGCGCTCACAAAGTCACATTCCAGAGCCTGAAATTCCAAGCACAGGCATTAAAACTGACCACCTCCACCTGACATCTTTTATTGGCATTATCAAAAGGGGTGTTACCTCCCGATGAACTCTGATGAATTCACGAGGATCTCCCTTTGCCCAGGGGGGCAGTATTACATCTCCAAGCTTAGTGCCATTTTGTTTGCAGCCTACAACAAAACAAACAAATTGAATACAAGGATTGAAAGCATCTTGTCACAAGAGCAGTGGAAAAAAAAAACACAGCAAAAATCAAATCATTAATGCCTTCCTTTTATGGAACAATGATTTGCTTTTATTTTAAGATCTAGTGCAATTTTTAAATGTCTAGTGATAAAGCTGGAAAATTCTGCCTCATACATTACTGTTTATGTAGGCTTGCTTGTGACAATGAAGAAAGCCAAAACCAATATTCTTTGTTAAGACTTTTCAAGATGATGATAATGTTTCAAAGTACCAAAAAAATTTCTGCCTAGGGAAGTTAATTAGATTAATATTACTTTTTTGTTTGCTTGTTCAAGAGTTTCATGGTACACAGTCTGAGCTCCAGGTCCTTCCCTTCCCTAATAAATGCTCCTTGGAACATGGATTGGTGTCTTAGTCTTTCTATTTCAATACATTTACACTTTTCTCTCCCTTCCCGCTGCAGTGCATGAGGGAACTGGGCAGTAGAAGAGACTTTTGCAGCTCCTGCAAGACTGGAATCTCATTTTACCTCCTTGGCTTGCAGGAAGCAGCCAGCCCTGCTAGCAAGAGCTGCTGCCAGAGAAGCTGCCCACTTTGCAGGCAGAGGAACCATCGCATTGAGGTTCATTCCCTGCTCTCTTTTATTTTAAGTTGTTCTTCCACGAGGCAAATTTAGATAAATGCAGCAGCTCTAACTTGAGAAACACTGTGATTTCTGCACTGGACAGATCTCTTTAGTGTGCATATAGTCAGGAACATGTCAACTGGGTATGTTTGGAAGGAAAATAAATCCTGGCATGTAAGGGTATAACATCAAACAGCACCCTCCCACTGTGACCATTAAAAGGGGGCATATTCCCGTTACTAAAGATGTTTGTTTTTAAAGACACCCCAGGTACATTCCTGTGTTGAATTTCTGTTGCTAGAGCCACTTCCACACCTCTTATTAATTCTGAGCACCATCAAATCTCCAAGTTCACAGAAGTGTAGGTACAGTACTTTGCTCCAAGAAAAACATTTTTTGCATAACCAGACTGTGAATATTTTCCCATTTTTATATTTGGGGGGGTGGGGGAGGAGGTCCAGAAGAAATTTTTCCTACTGTTGTTCCAAAAGGTTAGTAGAGGATTTCTAGGACTTTGTCTGATGATCACAATCCAAAGTTATCTAATATGGAACTAGATGGACCACAATGCTTTTATGGTAACAACCTCACTCTTATTTTATGTTTTGTAAGGTCATGGTTTTAACTTCTTATAATATATTTAAAATAAAGGATCTTAGCCCGTTAAAACTTATGACTTGTTAAGCCTTATTAAAATTTGTCTTACAGCACAGAGCTCAGGAGATTCTAAAATTAGTGATACACATACTAATGCCTCTTTATCTCATATGATTAACATGTGTGGGTAATTTTTACTGCTTTCAAGCAGTTACTAGAACGAAAAATAACTGCCACATTTCAACAAAACCTTTAGAAATATTTTAAGAGGAAGGTCTAAAAGTGCAGACAGTCTTTGGCAGACCTAAAAGAAAAGCGGGATAAAGATTGTGAATGCTATCATGGAGCTAAAGGAGCTTCAGGAAATGCAATCCAGGACAATTCCAAAATAAAACATGAAGATTTGAAGGTTTAAAACCAATTTAAATGTCATGGTTAATCATTCTCAGAATAAACTTTTCCTTCACCACTTAAAATGAACACTCATTCTTAGAAAACATCTTCAATCTGATAAATTTAAATGGAAGGGAAATCTGAGGTCCCCTCGTTGAAACAGAATTCTGACTGGACTATTGACAGTGAAACAATGAGCTCCGAACAATTCAGGCTTTCAAATAAAACCCTGAATGTGGTGTATCAAGAAAGGCTAGCAGTAGTCCTTATTATCCTTTAATGGGGGTACTCCTTATTATCCTTTAACGTGGGCATGTTCCAGCCATCCACCATTTCTCCCGCACTTCAACCACACGCTTTTCCGTGCGCGTTGCGACACCCTCCGCTCATGCCCGACTGCCCGGTGCTGCTCTCGCAGCCGTCGCAGAGCTCTCAGCCATTCCTGCCCACCTAGGTCGAAGTTGTTGGAATTGAGCAGGAACTCGGGGAGGTAGAAGAATTCCGGGATGAGCTCCTTGACGTCTGCCATGTTGTGCTTCGACGCCGAGTACCAAGCCTCCCGCACGCTGTGGAACATGCGGTCGGCCAGGTCGAAGTGCCCGCCCTGCAGGAGCAAGGAAGAGGCATCAACAGCACAGTCTCTCTCAGCACAGCAGGTTGGGCCACGAGCCACCTTCCTCTAGCAAAAAGGATTTAAGCTATTGCATATATAATTTTTTAAGGTGCAATAATAGTAAAGCATCACAGTGCAAATCTACAGGCTTTTAAAGGGAGATGCATCTTGTACTATTTCAATTTTCTTTTCTTTTTCTTTGGAACAGCAGTTCCACTAAAGAAACTTAAGTATTCTTGTCTGATAGCTTCCAATTAGGAAAATATTTAAAATGTAATGTTACAAATCCAATTGATTTTCAAGCTGCCTAAAGCTTATGGGCTGTGCATGTTTGCTTAATGTAACACTCAGTACTGCACTGGCTCTTTGGAAGGATGTATTCAGCTTTCCAAAGAAACATTGGACACCCCAAGGCAACAATCACACGGCTTCACATATCTGAAGAGAGCAAGCAGTCTGATGAAATTACTTGAAGTGGTTTCAAATACAGAGCAGGAAGGAAAGGGAAATCTCGCACTTTTTACCTGCAGCCGTAAGAATATTTGAGTAAAAGGTTCCATCCGGACAAGGTAGGAAGCCACTATCATGGCAGATGAATAGTGGGTCCCATAATGGTAAGCTGGAGTTTCCCCTACAAAAGGTTAAAAATCATAGACAGAGAGGAAATAAAGCAGTTAAAGGACAAAATCAGCACTAAATGAAAAAATAAATAAATAATGAAAAAAAAATAGTAGTGCTTCATTGTAATAATTCTACGACCCTGAACACATTTAAAATTTAGTTTTCATTCTTGGGAAGTGAATGTCTGCAAACCTTATGTTTTGTCACAGCGAACACTTAAATTTTGACTGCAATCCAGCAGCTGTAATTCAACAGGCTTCTGCCCAGCAATACTGTATGGTTAGTGATTTTATAGTTTAAATAATTGATATGTTCCAATACAGCTCACTTCTGCTGAAGGGGCATTTTTACTTTTAGTCTCTAGTCTTAAGAACTCGAGCACAAATGCATCTCAGGATTGTTGGCAACATATTTTGTACAGCTTTTACTTTCTTAATTTCCTGGCAAAAAGCATGCATAAATACATGTAGAATATATTGCTTCTTTTTTTAAAAGTGAGAGTCTTTGCTACCTGTTGGTGTTGGATACAGAACAATGCTGCAGTAGTTATTTAGGCTTTTCTTCTATAAAAGTGGACAAGAAAGGAATCCTACATGACAACAGCCTTGACAAACACTCACTTTATTTTTGTTATTTAAAGAAACTCTAAAATGGAGAATAAATAATTTGCCTGCACCTCATTTTGAGGTGTTACATACTTTGGATGTGCCTATTAAAGCTTTTTTTTTTTTTTTTGGGGGGGGGGGGGGAGTGTCAGACATGCTGATTAGTTAGCAAAAAACATGCATTAAGATAACAAATGGAAGTTGACGACTAATGCAGAAGTGTTCCCATTCCTTCATTCCACTTATTTTCTTTCAAGTGGTACTCACATGGTATTAGCCAGACACCCGGCCATATGTTTCATGCGCCTGCCTGCTCTAGCCTTTAGACAACATTAAACTCTTCTGAATATATGTCTTCTGTTTTGCTTTTAAATATAAACAAATGCTGTTGTCTGGATTTAGAAAACAAAAATTAAAAAACACCTCCTGCGAACACTCTCTGCGTTACTTGGATATCTGTTGGAGAATCACTGCAGAATCACACACTGCACACCCAACCTTTTCACCCACATTACCAAAATCCATGTCTCCCTTGTGCAATGGCCACGTTCCTCTCTGTCTCCTTTTTTTCTGCAGGGTATATCATTACTCACCATTGGGATCTTCCCAGTCTTTGTATCGTTTCTTGTACTGGGCTAGTCTGTCTTCTGTTTGAGCGCCCATGGGCTTGGCCAGGTTTCTGAATGTCTTGGGATTCGTAAGGTCCAATTCCTTTTAAAATAAATTCAACATTGCTCATCATTATTAAACACCATGTATCTCCCAAGACTGTTATCTTTGGTTTTCATGTTCTCAGCAGGTAGAATCACTCAGATCCTCTTGGATAGGCTTTAAAAAAATCCTCTGTCTGATCTGAGAGACTCACTGTTTTTATTTTAAACCATATCTGGGATCTGGATAATTTTTGCTCTGCTCCCTTCAGCTTGTTTCCCACTTGCCTAATTCAGACCTTGAATACCCCTCAGGCAGCCTAACAATGTTTTATTTTATGGTATGGCTGTCCACAAAAACATCAATAGGATGTTTCACCTTCCTTAAAAACAAATTCATTTTTGGAGCCAGATTTCATAGTAGCCCCTTGCAGAGCCCTTCCTACAGAGACAAGTGTTTCTTCTCTGTGACATAACATCCTTCAGGTTAGACTGCAGAAAGCTAATGCAAATCCTTAAACAAAGTGCTGCAGCCTTTCGTGTGACTACACAGAGGAGGGGAAGTTGCCTCAGGGTGCACTGTGCACACAAGCCCTTCTCTGTGCAGCATCAAATAACACCAGTAAAATCAGCACAGAAAGGACCTGCCTGCAAACAGACTGCCAAGACCCTCTAATACCCTGCCCCTGGACTGAACACTACAAAACAGATGATATTAAACAACTGGCAAAAACAACAAAACAAAACAAAACTTGGTTCTACCATGGCAGAACAAACCAGGTCTAACATTAGCAAATCCTGAACACATAAAATATTACAGTTAGGGTGACAAGATATTTTATTTACCTCCGAATCATAATCTGCAAGGATCCAGGGAAAGACAGGATACTGCATGAGATCATTATAGGATCTGCCCGCCAGGGTGTTCAAGTGCATCAGGTACTGGAAATTACTGATTTCTCCTCTCTTAAGGAAGACAGATAACAGTGTTTGTGTTCACTTTAGGGCACTCAAGAGTTCCAAGCAATTCAGCCCTCCCTAAACATAAAGTGCTTCACTTCAAATGCTCTCTCGTTCCTTCCTTCTGCAATCCCACCTCTTGCATTTTTAATGGTGGAACAATTTTCTCTTTCTCATGAAATTATGGTAACAGGTAATATTACAAACTATAAAGCTGAGATAGACTTTTCTACAGCAACATATTCCATCTTCTTGACTAAGAAGATGTAACTATCATGCATTAATTATGTATTATTATAATATGAAAAAATTAATAGAAAAAAATAGAAAAAAAACCACTAAAACTTCATACTTACTTCCCATCTCTGAGTAACAGATTTTTCTCCAACTAAAGTGCTCAGCAAGCCAGACCTAGTGGGAAGAAGAGCAGGTTTTGACTTACCAGTAAGTCAAAACTTGCATCTTTTCAACACAATTCAAAGTTTTAGACTAAAACCTAAAAATTATAACAATTAGAATACCAAAAGCTTGTTTCTTGGTTCCTTTAGCAGTTTTTAATTTAGAGAGCAAAAATTAATATATTTGAAATGAAGCTGCAATGCTTTCCAGTGAATCTGGAAGTCAATAAAAGCATCTCTAATTGAAGGCCATGCGCTCTAGAGATTGTGAGGAACTGAATCACTTACCCTTGTTCTACACTGGTGTTTGGTCTCTGTCCAGACACTGACTCTGAACTGTCAGTTAAAGACGGTACTACAGCCAAAAACCTGTGTCAGCAGTTAAAAGGAGAGCAAGATTAGTGTTTCTGTCCTAGGCATGTCTTCTGCTTGGAAGAAATATGCTACATTTAGTGCAATTAAAGATTTTTTTTGAGCAGGTATGTAAAATCCTCCACAAAATTGCAATGGCAGTTTCTCATTAAAGCCATACTCATTCCCATTAAAGCCATAAAGCCATGAGACTTTTGTGTCTCATACTGAGTGCAGATAGCAGGTTTTGTGTAGCATTCCCTAGTATTTCTTTCATGCAGCAAAAAGTTTCCATCAGGTTATCTGCTATCCAGTGCCAATCACACTCTTAATCTGCTCGCTGCTGTCAGGAAACCATAGGGTCAGATACGGCTCAACATTAATGTTAAAAAATGCTCAGATTACATTGTTCAAATTTGACTTATTTCACAATACCTTTGATAAACTTTATTTCTAACCCCCTTTTGGAAAGCTAGAAGATAGTTCCGTCCATCTCCTGAGAAGACTTCAATTGCAATTGGCTGAAAATGAAGAAGACAAACAGATGTCAACACTAATGCATTTGCTTGTCACCTCTGAAGATCAGAATGAGGTCAGTTTAGTCCTACTCAGTGGTGCACAACACCAAATTACTGTGAGGCAGCCTCTCCTCAGTGCTGCCAGCTGTTTTACCTTCAGAACATGAAAATTCACTGATTCACCCAATAAACTGAACGATGGTAAGCCAAGTGTTCAAGCACAGATACCTGTCTCAAGCACCACAGTCAACAGATTCACTTAATTTTTCATTTTTTGGGGCTTTATCAATAAATCCCAAAGGTAGCCCTTCAACCCAAACAGTGATCCATTACCTGCAACAGGTATCTCCTTTTATGTACTTCCTTGATATCCTCATAAGCAAAAATGCTACATGTTCTTTTGAGTTGACTTGGACCTTGCCTCGCTCCCCTGGGTATGATTGGCTCATGCATCCTGCAAATGAGTATAGACAGGAAAGAAAAAAGTGATTGCTAAAGGACATACCCAAAATATCATCTTTTTCATCTGGGTGAGACTGCAGTTATAGAAACAGCTTATTTTCACAGTATACTGCAGCACACTTAGCAAATCAGGACTACAGAGGAAACTGCCTGAGATCTTTCTGAATCTGGCATTATTTTGAAGTTTATCCTTCAAACTTCTTGTTGAATACTCCTTGTGCAGTCATTAAAGACAGCTGTAACTCTTTACTATTCCACTCACTTTGGAGGCAATGTCTCGATATCCCGTATTTCCCTGGTGGCTGTCATTGTAAATCCATCAATCACGTAGAAGTGCTCCTTCCCAAAGAGCAGCAGCCCTTCACTGGTGTCCAGGCCCTGAACTCGAGCACAGCGGTACATATGCTGAATCTGAAATAAAAGCAGGCACTCAGTAAAAGCAGCTGTTTCTTCTTTGGAAGGTCTCCTCAATTTCTTGTAGACACAGCATTTCTGGGTTATTTTCTCTCTCATCAGAGAAATACATAATGCTGTGCCATGGTCTTCAGCTGAAAGGTATTCTAACACAACAACAGTATGTTATACATAAGCCCCAAAAGTGTGTGTGTGTGTGTGTGTGCCCTTCCTGCTTTAAAGCTGAACACTAAGGAGGAGATATGCTGAAATCATACAGAGGGCGCTTGGCTAACTTATGTTGCCCGACTTTAAAAAAAGATAATTTACATTACAGAAAAATGCTCGACTTTCTAGCAGACCTCTGACATTCAAGTTGTCGCACAACTCTAAGTTATAAAATGAAGACTTGTTGATTGTCCATGACATACGTTGTATAGTCCCAACAACGGCCCAGGGACGTTGTATAGTCCCAACAACAATTCATGTATTAGCCTTTCCTTCAATGGGACAGTGGTTTAAGTCTCCATCCAAATGCTGATTTTCACCATATTTACATGGATGTATATGAGACCACTAGGCCTTATGCCCAAATTGGTTAAAACTAATGGCAGTCAGAAACCATGAGCACAATCCCTTACTCTGCATTTCTCCTGGAGGCTGGGCTCAAGCACAAGAGAATATAATCCAAGTGGAAGAATAATCTGAGAGGTCAGTCTGAATACATTATTGCTGAATTATTAAAACTAATTTGTCACTGCAAAATTCACTCAACTTACAAGCATACTAACAAGCTATTTAATAACAAAGGCAGAAAATTCCAAATAGCTCCCATTTTCAGTCTTGCAATCACTATCATTTTAATTTTCATATTATATGAACCAACTGCAATATGTGAAATCATATAACGTCATCTAAAAACATTTCCTCTCACACTAAAATATTTTTTTCTTTTGGTATGTATGTATCTTTGCAAAGGGCACAGCACTCCTCCTCCTTGAGCATATTTAGTCCACTCAGCTGACACCTGCCAAATTCAGTATGTTTTCAATATATATTTCTGTTGACAACATAATAATCCACTCATGAGACAACTTTGGTTCCAGGACAGATTTTTTCTTTCTCTAGCAGACAGAAGGAAGGAACAAAAATGCTTTCAGTACAGGGTTTTCAGTACGGAACCTCTTTGAACCACAGTACATATTTGGTTCTGAGGATGCTGCAGGGAGAAGTTGATGGAACATTAAGCAGATTCAGCTGTAACAGAGGGAACATCTTTAGGATATGTATTTGTGCTTGCTGTATTTTGTATGGAAAAGCCAATACAATAAGTGGTCAGTGCTTCTGAAGTACACATTACCTTCTCTCCTTCTTCAAGAAGCCGAAGCAAAGTTGTGTTGTCGGTTTTCTCTTCCTCATCAATTGAGCTGCCCTCAACAATCTGATCCTGCAGCTGTTCCTGGTTCTCCTCATCTCCTCCATCAGGAGCAGAGCGAGATCTTTTCAGAGGAGGCTTTACTAGGCCTGGAAAAGAAGAAAAGAGATATAAAGCATTAAAAAAATAAATAAAAAGACATTTATCACATTAAAAAAACCTAAGAAATAAAAATTTAGCTTGCAAAACCCTTTGAACTTCAAAATTACTGATCCAATGCTAACATAGAAAAACAGACTCCTACAGGAGCTTTATGTTCACCTGAACACTAATGGCAAACGTGTAAAGATGTCGACACGCATGAATTTAAAGAAAGCAGTTGGAGAGGGGCCAGTGTCTAACCTTTGACTCTCGCAATGGTGTCCTCCCCATGCTCGGGCTCCTGCTGAGCAGTTTCACCCACTGCGTTCTCCTCTATAGCGTCCTGGAAGACCGCCGGGTTGCCCGAGGCCAGGCGCATGTAGTACTCCTTGCTGTCGTAACTTATGGCCCTTCGGTAGCGAGCGGGTTTCTTGGGAATAACGGAACACGGTGGTTAGTCAGGCAACTCCTCATTCCCTTCCCTCAAGGTGTTTCAAGGCTACCGTGTGCAGCAAAGTGCCCGCCCGCCCCGTGTTCCGCGTGTGCTCAGTCGTGTGCCAAAACAGACAGACAGAAGCAGGGACTCTTCAGTAGAAGCCTCCATATATAACCTAATTTGCAAGGGAACTATATAGCCCCTGAGGTAACGACTGGGTGGGGGCAAGGCCTGCAGATGAACCTACAAGATGGGAAATAAATGTGGCCAGTGTGTTATGAATTGCTACAAAAGGGCTAGGGCTTACGATTGATGGCCGTTTTATCAACTTTCATCACTCCCTTCAGCATATGCAGCACATTCATTAGCCAGCTGAATTATTTTGCTGGGAAATAGTTTAAATAAAATGTTGCCTCTAGGACAGATAAAGTTACATGAAAGCTGATATGAACTGAAATCAAATAGGAGCCAGGGACCTGTCTTTAGGCCCCAGAAATTCTTAATTCAGTATTTTGTTTCTTTAGTAAAAACTCTAAATACATTTGCTGGCAACAGAATCACACAAGAGGGTCCATTTGACCAAAATAATTCCCTGCGCACCACTTGTACCTTTGAGTAACCGCAATGGATTATGATACAATTCATTACGTTTTTAGCAGGCTAATTCTTATCTTCTTCACTTGATTACGGAGGTAACATTTGAGGCAAAAAAAAAAAGTAACAATTAAATGAGGGCAATAAATACATCAGGATAATACCTGAAGACAAAGGTAAGGAAGAAACTGCCTTCTGTTTAACCTCACCTCAAATGCTGTAAAAACTCAGGCTCTTTTTGTGCTCAGCTCTCTCCAAATTATTTTGTAGTACTATTTCCCAATTTGCAATTAGATTGACAAAATTGTGAAATTATAAATCTTCTCCAATGCCGAACACGCCGAACTGCAGGCTATGACCTGCCATTTTAATTAATATATTCCCTTATGCACTTCCACAGTAATTACTGAAAATATCCAAAGATGTCATTTTTTGGTTAATCTTTATGAATTGGGAAGCTAAACAACCCATAAAAGCATATTAGCTTTGTTACGAATGGATGCACTGGAAAATTAAGAAGTTAATATTAGTAACATGTAGATTTATTATTTCAGGCCAAATTAGCTGCCCCAGGAACTGAAGACATGAGATGACATATCTGGATTTCTGATTTAGGTTTCATTCTGGGTCTTCATCCCTCAGCAAATGCTACTTAAATAATACACAAATGCTACTTAAATACTATTTAACGCATTTGTAGAAAAACTGGCCAAGAGTCTACAAACAAGAATCCAAGCTAGCACTGCTAACACAGTGTAACAATTACACTGGATATTTCACACAACAGCCACTTTCATTTTTATATATTATTTTCCCATCATACATAATACAAAATGAGTGAGTGCACATTGCACACTGTACTTAGTGATGGGCAAAACCAAATGTAATTTAATACAGAAATAAATTAATGCTCAAGGGCCTGAGGCACAGCCAGCTGGGGAAAGGGTTTTGCCATTTGCAAGGTAGGAGGCATATTTGGAAACACGTTTACTACATTTGTCCTCTCTGTTTCTTAATAATGAAAACAAGGAGACAAAAATTATCTTGTCTCTAATAAAAACAGGCCTGTTGCAGCCCACTGTAGCCCATATAAAACGAAAACACCCCAACTGTTCTCCAGATGTTCCGTTAGAAATAAACACTTATTTTCCTAATAAGTGCTCCCAACGATCATGTTGCCCATTACTAAACATGTTTTGCAGATCATTAGTTCAGATCCCAAGCCAACACAGTTTGCACGGTGAGAACAGTGACAGCACAGCCCAACACAGCCTGTTAGTGTGCAGCAAAGGAGGGAAGAGCTACAGGAAGTTTTATTAGGTGAAGACTGAAGAGGACACAGTGACATCTTCTAGTGTGAATACTGAAAAAAACCTTTAGTCCTGGAAATATTTACTGAAAGAGCAAGTTGAAAGCCAGTCGTAGAAGCCTTGTTAAGATTGCCTAACATGCAGGAGGGGAAAAAATAACAAGGTTTATCCAGTTACATTCTTTCAGTCACAGTACTGGTTTCTTTACCTTTTGAGGAATGGTATCATCAGGTGTCTCAGGAGGTTTACTTGGGAAGTCAGACTGAAAACAGTGCATTAGGTATAAACATCAGAAAAAGAACATTTTTGAGAAGAACATATGGTATGTTCTCCACTTTGTGTGAATTTAACTGTCATTAAAACTAATGTGGATCAGATTGCAAGTACAAAAAATATGCCTAATGATATAAAACTGGTCACATGGTTTTGACATTGAAAGACCAGGACATCCATTTTGCTTCATTTTCATGCTCCCAATCTCTCAGCAATTTAGGGCTAATGACAACACTAGTGGCTAAATTTTCACATACTGCTTCAAAAACACAGTGCTATATAAAGTTAGTGCTGGGCTGAGACACTCAGCACTGGGTTTAAAAATTCTTGCTCATGAAGAACCTACCAGGGGCCTCGATAGCTTGTTTCAGGAACCACTGCACAGCATTAACGCTTTGGGAATAACTCTTAATAAAGTGGACTTTGCCTATTTAATAATTTCAGCCACAAGATCTTGCATACCTGCTCATGTGCGTGTACAAATACATCTGTGATTACATTACTTCGCTGACAGGCTAAAAATACTTACATTTTTGAGTCTCATTTTTTATCTTGTTTTCCAGACTACTTGTTATTTTTGACTTCACTGAATTCATCCCAATCTAGGAATGTTTCTTCTGAACTGGCTCCAGGATGCTAGCAGCTGCACTAGCACCACTGTTTGACAGTTCCCTGCACATCCATGGCCCACTCAATCTCCTGACACAGTATAGTGCCAACACGCACTCAGCTAATTGTTGATTTTTCACTTAAGTCTTTTCCACAAGCAGTCTGCTTATTCTTCGAGGATAAAGTCTCTTATTGTCTAAATATGGGCTACATGTTTCAATATTGGATGGGTGCGGCAATATTTAGCTGTATTTTTTTTTTTTTTCGGAGTGCAACCAGATTTTTAAACTATTCATGCCATTACATAAAACTGAACTGCTCATTATCTACGAGTTTATGTTTACTAAAAACAGGATCTGTTTGTTTTTAGTTTTCTTTCAGATCACTGTTTGAAGTGTTATCTAGCCTAAGGCCAAGAACTCAGATTGAAACTTCCCATCATTATGACACTTTTTAGCTTACAATTATTCATCAAGATTGCTAGAGTTTCTAAGCTCCCTGAGCTGTCACGGTTCAGTCCTTCCTGTAAATGCACTATGGAAAACAACTGGAACTTGCTAATCCTGTAAGACTTGCAGATAAATAATACCTACAGAATAAATTATATTTAAATTTAAAAAAGCAGTACAAATTTTAGTACAGAGCCTAAAATTGCTCATCACAAAACTGTGAACACTTACCAGCAAATTTGTCTCTTGCTCAGCTTCAGGCATGTATGGATACTGAGTATAAAACATGTCATTCCGCACCATCTTCTTCCTCATTCTACAGGGACCCTCGGTCATCTCCAGCATCCACTTGTCAAGATGGGAGCCGATGGGAGGACCCCACAGACCCCGCTCTCTCAGTAACTCGTATTCAATTTGAGACCACTCTTCTGTCACGTATTTTAGCGCATTCTGCTGACGCTAAACACAAAGACATTGAGGGGGGCAGTGTCAAGACTGACATTTTAAGCCTGTGTCCGATGGGAACAGAGTGATTTTCACTACATTGCAAAAACTGTAATAATTTGAAAATCTAGTAGCATTTTCTAGTATCCTTCAATTGGATTTCTAGTCTCCACTACAATAAAAGAAGGGTTCACATTGTTATTTTCAGAAGAAAAAAAATGGCAGTTCTGCTTTTGCTTTATTTTTAATTAAAGATACACACATAAATACAAGATATATACAACCTAACAAGCAAAACGCCTATTTCAAAATACTAGTTTTAGGTAAGTTACTGAAGCATACCTCCTGATATTCCTTATACTGCATATCTACGAGGTCCCGAACCACTGCAATGTGAGTAAACATCCACTGGGAGATTTCCTAATACAAACATAAGAAGACAAATGGAATGCCACTTTATAATTGCATAGTTTATTTGAATACAACCTACAAAGAACCTGCAAAGAAATCATGTAGGTAACCTGCTTACACAGAATATTTTCTTAAAAGAAACAAAACAAAAATGAAACAAACAATTCCATGCGGTACTGTCAAGTATTTATTTTTAATTGTAATAAAACCATGTATAGGAATATGTTTTAAGAGGGACTATCAAATATTTGGAAAATATTTCAAGCTCTGGAATATTTTCCAGAGCTCTATACTAATATCTCTGAACATCCCAGTTTGGTGCCAAACAGTGAACATCACTACTTTTCCTTATTTTCTTTTTAACAATAGTTTATGGATGATGCCTAAGGGATGTGCCCTTAAGACACATAGAAAAGTACAAGCACATTTCTTGCAGATCCCTTTTTAAAGTGGTGCAAATACAAATTAAGACCTAGCCTAGCAAAGCATATAAAAAACAAAAAGGTGTTAGAATAGGAGAAAAATCAAGAAAAAGATACCATAGTCTTATAATTTTTACATTAGGACATTTACTATAACTCTGAACATACACTGTTATTAGATTATGTTTTATTAATTAATAGAAATTACCTGTGTAGATAGATTGTGTTTGTTGAGCCCACTCTCCTTTCGGTTTCTCCTGGAACCGGTTAGTTTAGAGAGGCCAAACCCACTGCTAACTCGTGACAGTTTGGACTGGGTGGTGGGAACCAAAGCCTCTCCTCTACTGATGCATTTCTTCTCATGCGCTGAAAGCCAAAGAGCAGAAGTTTGTCATCCTTGCATTGCTTTTTAAATAATCTTCTCCATACTTCTAAAAATTTTAAGAGCACCCAACAACATTCACATTCATGTCAACATCCAACGCCTCTCTCGTGAGGAAAGATTCACAGATGAAATGTGGGAAGTTCCTGTGTTTTGAAATTAAACATGAGAAACAGATTTCTTATCAAAAACAG